AACACCATCGCAATATGGATTTAACTCATGATATCCATATTATGTTAGTGTTTACATCAATACTACCATCAATGAGAGTTATAGACATCACATAATTTTAAGTCCACACCCATATTTTTTAGAGTGTATACATTCGTCTTATAAAATGTTTAAATTAAAGCTTGTTCTAGTCCGTAGACAAACGATTTATGTTCTTTGCAATGTTATAGGATCAGCAGTTGCAATTTTAGCAAATGCGAAATGATATTTCGAACTAAGGTATGATGCGCACGTCCGAGTAAAGAAGATCGTGTACAAGTGCGCATACCGTTGAAGAGCATAGCTGGCAAGACAGTGAGAATAATTTATGGCGTGGGAAGACATTTGCATTCCGCGAAAGATGCTTCGGCATCGCAGAGAGATGGTCAAGAAGAAACGAAGGAAGTAAAGTTCTAGTAAAGAACGGAAGAGAAAGTAGAAGAGATCGACATCTTTCCTCGCGCAATCTAGGTAAAAATGATTTTACGACGAGTACTGCCGGTACTCATTTCTCCCCGAGCGCGGTCGAAAACGATCGAAAAATCGCGTGCGACATGAAGACCAAAGGAAGAAGAGCGACGCGCCGGTGAGAACGGCTTTGCGAGTAGCGCGGCGCGTCGTTGAAGAGGTTCCCATGGATGCCAGACTCGCGGAGTTGAAAAAATCTATAACGTAAGCCACTAGTAGGCAAAGCACAATCCCCATTGGCTCTCTTCCCGAGGCCCGGCAAGACTCGCGCGAATAACTCTTAGACTAGATCAAACCATAGACCACGTTTTCGTTATTCTGCGCTCCTCCGTGTCGGCTCGCGCCCAAGTAGACGAGAGGACGAGCCGGGTGAAACGATGAGCGACGAGCGAGCAGGCCAAACGGTCAGCGATCAGCGGAGGTCTCAAGACGAGCACACACTTTTGTTATGAGGATCATATAATATTCCAGTCAGCCTCGCGGTTGAACAACGGGCATCGGCGCTCACGAGCTGAATGACAATTCGGTGGAGGACTACGAGAGACGCTGGGTAATTGCCAGCTTCGCCAATCATTATTACGTGTGTCGTTGGATATGCCGCGCTATTGACACACGGAGGGACACACAGATAAACGGGGCCCACGATTCGCGATCTAACGGCGATTCAGATGCGCATAATTTCCGCCTATCAGTTCACGGGAACTTATCAGTATTCTCGATGGTAATCTAAGTTTGACATTACGTCATTAATTTCAGTGGTTTTCATCAAAATTTATATAATCTTCTAATAGTAAGGTTTTCTTTAAAAAGATTTTCGACGCTCTGACTAATAAAGTCGTTAGGTCATATTTGATCCCGATCTTATCTATAATTATTAAAGGATTAAAGATAATATTAAAAAGAACAAATAGTTACGATATCGTTAGCGTAATTACTTATAAATTAAATAACAAATTTATTTATTTATAAATTCATCTCTTAGATAATACGTCAAGTTAATTTATAATTTCCATGTCATAAGTTCGAGTGGACTGTGATTATAAACTACATCGAAAATAACCGGGACTGGGCAAATAGTTGTGATGTTACTAGCGTGATCTAATTTATGAATTAAATAATAAATTAATTAATTTACAAATTAATCTCTAGATGATACGTCAAATTAATTTATAATTTCCACATTATAAATTCCGGTTCAAGTGGACTGTCGGAGATATGTAGCTATAAATTATAGATAATAATGTAATAGAAAATTACTGTCGCAAGTTGTGACAGTTTGAGTATACGAAAGCTTATAATTAGCTATATAATTAAACTGCCATGCAGACGCAATTCTAATAAGTGTTGTTGCCAGTTAATGCATACAAGACATGGTAATCTGATTGTATTTGATTTAGCGTGGGTTAATTAAAACGGTGTGCCGTGATCGATGTACCGATTATTGTGATACTCTCGACATTGGTAACCAGTGTATAACGGTATTTCTCGATAAGGAAAGTCTAAATCAAGATCGACCAATGGTAATTAATTATCAGTCACTTTAATGTCTCTTCGATTGGAAATATTTACGATTGCAGCATAAATACGAATTGGTTTATGGAAAATCCGCTATATTGAACTTTCAGCGATTATTAAATTATATATTTCGCATTTAATAACGATTAAATTATTCACGTACATTTCTTCACAGTCTGTGCACAACATAAATGTAACAATTTAACATCCAATTCAAATGACACATCTAATATAGTTATCATTAGAGAGAAGATGTAGGCATTTCATTTCCTTATCATTGAGAATATGGAAATGATGTAACCATTACTACGTGTCAATCGTTTTAAGTATTTACGTAAATGTTGACATGATATTGAGTAGAACAATTTTTTGAAAGTAATTAACGTTACAGTTAAATGAAATGCCGTAACATAGTAAGAAGCATTACAACTGACTTAAAACGTAAGATGAAAAATGCAATGAGCCGATGTGGATCAGGATGCAATAAATTATTACAAATAATAATGTCATCTTGAGCTCCGGAGGGTGCTCGTTAAACAGAAGGCAACACAATCGTGTTGCTAATGACTCTGGTGCAGTGGAGTTGTTTCTTAGTACAACCACGTGGCGAGTGTAGATACTTCGTCACGCGTAGAGGATGGTGAGTCCTGGCGAATCATTAGTAAGGTATCTACCTTGAGTCTAGTAGTTTCGTTTTGCCACGAGGCAGATCTCGATCTGTACATTTATTGTCTGCTCGCGCGCAAGAGAAGTATTTAATTTCCCAAAAAATATGTTCTGTTTGAAAGTAAGAGAAATATGACTTTGTTGATGACTATTATGATGGCTATTAAACTACCTATCATTTATAATTTAAATATGATTTCTGACTCGTAGGATATAATATCGTTGAAAAGAAATCTCTATCAAGTGAGCACAAAGCCGAAATCTCGAAAATAGCCATCAATAGAGCATGTACAATTTAAGAAAACCATCATAAATCATCAGCATGAGATTGTTCTAATGAGCATTGATAAAGTCATCTAATTACAGTTGCAGCGAATATATCTAAGTGAAAGGCTCGTAGGCGTGGCAGGAAGTGTACAATGGATGGGAAACTCGATAGTATACATAAAATATATATGATCACAAAAACCCGCGGCTAAGAAAGTTGCGATATCGCGAAAGGTTAATTACTACGCACAGTATTATACGCACGACTAGTAATGCATTTCGATGAGAAGCAATGATATTTCCTTCAAGCGCATAGCAATCATTTTATTCGCTCGTTACGCTGGCTACCTCAATTTTTTCTCGACAGAGACACGCTTTGCTAACTGAGATAGTTATCGAGACAAAAATACAGCATTTAGCAAGTAATTAATATTCCTTCGTCACATTAAAAAAATGTATTTATAGATTTAATCGATAACTGAAACTCTATGGATCCTGACCTCTGGGACGTTTTCCTAATTTTCAAAGAGTGCAATAATATAGTAAATAGTATAATAAAATTCTTAAATAGCATAAAATAATTATTTGGTATAATTTTATATTTTAATATCTTATTTTTCACAAATGCTACATAGGCTAATTATCATACTATATTTATGAAAAGTTCAAATGTTGCAATCTTTTTTTATACAATTAAAAAAATTTAAAACTTCTTGTGGAAAAACTAATAACAAAAAAAAATAGAATAACAAAAAACTTATGGCTCTCAAAGACACACATGTTCCTTTAGCGTCATAAAAAATGTGTTCCTGTAATACAAATTAAATAAGCTTTCTTCGTTGTAAAAATGCGTGCTACAAATGCCTGGTAAATTGCAAATAAAAAAAGAACCATGTAGAGGGAGTACGCATTAGAGAGAGGTTTCGAGTCTCTATTTTGAGAACGGTAACAGGACTTCGCGGAACACAAGCGCTGGTAAGGACTCGTCGTGCAAGCGTTACAGATCTGATGGCACTAATGACGGGGCCCGAGTGTCCACGTGTTGTGACACTAAGTGACCACACGAAAAGGAGGTACCACGAAGAAGTGACGATGATCAGTTTGTTAGGTTCCCTTGTCGGTTTGATAAATCGATGGTAACAAGTCGGACCGGAGAGAAGAGTCCGGAAGTGTCATTATTTTTACAGCATATCTGCTGGCTTAAGAATAATTTGCCGTGGTTAATCGAAATAAAGCGCAAGTCACGCTGTGCTGTTGCGTTCTATGAACTATAAGGCACCGTTGACGGTCCCAGGATGACTTCACGCTTGGCACAAGCCGATCGTGCAGACGTTAGGAATGTGATGACACTCGCAATGAAGTCCTAGCATATGAAAACTAACTAAGCACAAGAAAATAAAAGAAAGACGTAGCCCACGGGAAGGTGTCTTTAAATTCTTTTGCGTCTTTGAATACTTTCACGATGACATCACTGATTCGTGTCCCTGCTATCATTAATAATATTCTCACACGTTCGATCGTTTCAGATACTGTGTAAAATAGGCAGTGTATATGCAGTCTGGAAATTATCCATTACACTTAGTAACAGCCATCACATCTGTATTTTAAAAAAGTACTCATATATGAGAAGAACATATGAGAATATTGTTAAAATATGTACACTCTAAAAAAAAATGTCAGTGTGAATTTAACACCATACGATGTTTATATAATTCTCATTGTGTTGATGTTAATATTAATCAAAATGATGAAGATTATATATACAATAGATATCACATGTATTAAAATCACACCAATTATTTCGTACTCGTATCATACTTGTAAAAATAATTATGTAGGACACTCAGGTTGGTTTAACAAAATTTATTTACAGATCTGTATGCCCCCTCCGATATACTCCTAAATATACTCGAAAGTATCGCCATACTTCATTCTCAGATAATTAAAAACTATCAATATACCGATGTTAAAAGTCAGGGAAGAGAAAAGCGATTCATTTAAAAAATAAAATCCCATAACACGTCAGTAAATTATGAATACACTGTCTTCGTAATAAATTACAATCTGTGACGTTCTCCTTCCTACAGATGCATTTGCGTAACATCTTGGAAGAAGCATCTTGTCAGCAGAAAATTCCGAAAAGTCCAGCACTTAGCGTTATTGAGTCCCGCGATTCGGGCCGGCGCGTTAAGGACTACTCATGCAGGCATCAGAAATCCGATGACGCTAATGACGAGGCTATGTGTCCGCATATTGACGCTAACTGGACTGACTACGAGGAAGACTCGTTGGTACTGAAGACGGGCGCGGAGGGCGAGAAGACGAGAGAAGCAGAAGTGGCGATGCCTGGGCAGAAAGTATCGTGCAGAAACGGCGTGCACGAGGTAACAAACGTCTCCTCGAGGCCTCGTGAGACGAGGAGAGGAGGTCGCGGCGAGGTGAGGCGGCCGTTTTCGAGCCGCGGAGATGATTTACCTTACAACTAACAATATCCCTCCTTAAGGCCCTGGCGGATTTATTGGTTCTCTCTCTTTCCACCGTAGGATGTCCAGCGGGGATAGGGCAGTGCCTCGCCAAGTATCCGAAGAGAAGGAGAAAGAACGGAGACGGAGGGGAGACGTGAAGAAGGCCCCGGGCTCGAACCCGGCACCTCATTACCCGATAATTTACTACGCGAGTAATTAACTGGGCACACAAACGGTGCCACGTTATGTATACCCGGTGCGCGCGTATACACCGTCCGACAACTCTTCCTTACCGGTACTTCTCGGATGCGTACGCTCGTATATTACCGCGCCGCGTCCTCCTGCCGATCTATTTATCCATTCGTTTTGGCGTGACGAGCCTTCGCTCCCCTGGCCGACCCGGATGCGCGCGATAAACGGTTCAATAATGGCGGTTCGGAGAGCCCAACGAGAAAAAGTATTTACGACGTCTGCGTATTACATTTTATTTCCCTCGCCGATATTTTAGCACCACGGTAATGGCGTGATAATTATGGTCCCTTATAGTGTATTATAACTTAGATAATAATAATACGCGCATACATTTATCGCAAGAACAAAGAGAATGCAGATGAAATTGACTGAAAAAAGTGTTGTTCCAACAAGAGAGAAAAAGTCATTTTAGTTGAAAATGAACGAATCAGAAGATTTGATCATATCAATCAGAATTCTGAATTATCTCAACTAGGATTATAATAGATTCAACCAAAATTTCAATTAACCAGACTCTTTCTCCAATGATCAAACGTATATTATGATTACACGGTGGAATTTTATTTCTTTTTTTTCTGTAAATAAAAGACCACATAGAACAGAACAAAAAGAACGCAGCATTGTAAGACTTTTCATCAATATTCTAAAATGATTTCATGAATATGAATTCTGAACTAGAAAAAACAATTTAATGCCTTCTGCAAAATTATTTAGTCGAGGCATTTTTTAATAACAACCAAACATTTAATTGTTTTTACGAAATAATTTCTCTGCTTTGTAAATAATAAAAATATTTGCTTACACCAGCTAAGCAATTTAGAACATTTACATTTTCACAAAAAAAATTTTTGTATATTTCAATCAAATCTTTGTTATTACAACAAAATTTTAGTTTAAAGAACAAAACATTTTTCTTGATGTAAAATTGAGTTCGTGGCGAAGACTCATTTATAAAATTCACTTATAACTCTCATTTATAAAATTCCTATAGTTCATTAAATAAAGTTTTAAATATATATATTTTAACTAAATATATATCACAATTGAAATTTGACTATCACACGCTAAAATAACAACTAAAAATATGCTAAGAAATTGTCATTATATGTCACAGTTTTTTTTTATTTTCATCAGAATGCGTACAATTGATTTGACTTGATTATTAATCAAAATTATGGATCGAATTTAATATTTCGATAAACAATTTAGTTAATTATTATATACATATTTCAGGTTAATTTAACTAATTTCTTTTCATTGTAATATTACGCATTTCAACAATTTAAGCTTATGTTTCAAGACAAATAATTAACACACAGTCTGCTTGAATTGAAAATTGTAAAATTCACGCAAAAATATTATTATAGGCACGAACATCCGCTCTAATTAAATAAGATCTTGTTCACTAATTATTTGTACATAAAATTGAATTCCTGAAGACTCTACGCAGGTCAAATTATGGGGTTGTCTCCACGTGAATAAATGTGAGTTACATCTGTAAGCAGATCACAACCAGAAAGGGACTCGAGGTGTCATTAAATCCTACGATCAGCTCTGTAAAGACTCCGTTTCCAAGTATCTTGCGTCGGCGAAGACAAAGGTTTCTCGAAAGAGACGAGAGCCGCGGAAATCGCCATTTATAGGCGATACTGAAGTGGCTATCGCTTGTTATTCGGCACGTTCCTGGATTTTTCATTTGATACGCATTTTACGATTTTTCGCGTGCGACTGTCACCGCCTCGGCTTCTCTGTATAGTCATCAGATCGCGACTACCTGCATGCTAATCACGCCGCTGCAACCAGACAGAACTATGTGCGAGGAATAGATTTCAGTATTAGGGCTACAAATTCGACTACTCAATTCCTTTTCCGACAGAGACCGCATCTTAAGATCGGATGATAGTCCGATAATAAATTTTCGGACCAACTTTCATGTATGCAAATAGAAAAATCAGGTAACTTCAATTTACCAATTCTTTCATAATCAGTCAATTATGTCCTACGTCGTGTAATATCATGTAACGCGACACCGTTGTACCGAGAAATGAGGAAAAAAGGACTAATGCTAAATTTACTTCGTTATCCTGATAAATTATTTCTGCACGACCGAGAGATAAATCCTTTGTAGACGGTAATAATTTAAAAAAGCTGCGAAATTAATTTAGCATCCGTAGGTGCCGCTGCCAAAACGGCGATAAATCCTCCATACGCCTGCGCGAATGTAAATCACCCTTGGTGCTGCATTTACCTTTCGCGACCGAGAGAAGTCTAAGCGCAATCGCGGGCATTAAAAACGCAGCGTCAAGCTCGTTGCTGATGAATAGCCCGTGAAACAGTGGGCGTTCAAGATTGCACGAGACGACTCGGAGATCGATAGATAAAGATCAATGAGCACCACTGGTAAATGTCACGCGTTGGCGGTGTCAACCACTGACACCCGGCCAGAAGGATAAGGACGACTATGCAGAGGAGTCATTCGATACGACGTAAGAGGAAGGCACTAAAATAATAAGGGAGACAGGGAGAGGGCCCGTCCGGTGTATACTGGGCTGGGAGAGGCACGAAAGAAGCGAAGGCTTAAGCTCGAAGAAAAGGCGGCGGAGCTGATTAGAATGAGAATAGACGCGGACGTGAACGCGCAAACGGATCTCTCCGGATTGGAAGGAGAGGCATCGCCGGTAGGGCGCGAGGAGATGAGAAGACCGAAACAGGCAAACTAAATAATAAAGCCCACACTTGGCCCACTACCTCCCGGGACCCCAAACGGACCACCCGGTGCAAGGGAACGAGAAGTCGCTCGTCGAGAGCGAGCGTTGGTGCCCCGGGTGGGCAGAGGTGAGCATTTGAAATGGTAATTACGAGAACCGAAACCGCCGATCCCCGATAAAATCGTTTCCAGCGGTCATTCGGCGTAATGAATTTTCATCTCGGTGGACTCTGTTTCTCCGCTAATAACACTGCGCGGCTGGCCCGTTTGTGGATTTTTTTCCTCAGGCGCAATCAGAGCAGTCGACTTGAACGACTTGGCGATCTCGATCTACAGGTGCATACGCCGCTCTTAAAGATGGAATGTTAATATCGAGCTAAACGTTCTGTCGAGGGAGTTGGTGAGTAATTACTAATTAACGCTATCTTGAGAGAACACAAATTAACGGAATCGCGATAAGTGTGATGAGAACGCGCCGGGAAGAAAAGAAAATCTCGCGCAATTTTGAGAGATGACTCGATGCGATCGTTAATTATAATAATCGGCGTTAAAACCACGCGTCGTTAAGCGCATTTTCAACGTATTCTCGTTTGAAAGATGCGATTATCCCGAAGCACAATACCAGGATTTAATTACTCCTTCGCTCGCGTTGTTCATCTCGAGGCTGCGAATGGACCACTCGCGTACCCCGTGCATTATGCATACGAGAGCCGGAGAGATGCACTTATGAAGGATCTGATTGAGTTCTGAGTAAATGGCATCTGGTTAGCCGAGCTGCTAATTAAACAGCCGCGAGCAACATCGTTCGTCTTCTCGGTATATATATATATATATATAGCTGCGCGAAAACAACTCAACGGTACTCTAGATATATTCACTGCGCAATATATTTTAAACCTGACTTTGCAAACCATTTTCCGGATATGTTAACTATGTGCGTATTCCCGATTATTTAAATATAATTACTTCAATTGAAAAGTAATAATTAAGGAATAATTAGAATAACGATTAGGAAAAAAAAATTGTACCTGATTATATGTATAAATCAATGTTATGTAAAATATTATGTAAATCAATATTAATTTTAATTTTTTCCAAATTCATCATAGATTAAAATTAAAATGTTGCAGTATTCCTTGAAATTTATCGATGAACTCCGTACTCGAAAAATATAGTGATGGCACAAATATGACAACTATATAATAAGTTTTATAAGTAGAATTAACATAACTGACTAAACTACTATTTTATAATCGTTGCAATTATAAAACAGTTTATTCAACTATATATAGTAGTGTAATATGTCAGTTTTTAATCAATTACATATATTAATTATAAATGTAAAATTTGTATAGTTATCACTTTTATAATTGCCACCACTACGTTTTTCTCCGAGTGTGGAAAAGTCGTTCATCGATAGATATCAATTATTTTTACGAGCTTCACCCCTCTTTTCCCTCTTTCGGTACTCCATCAGTTCGACACGAGGGACATGGTCCGTGCAGCGCGTGAAACAGCCACACGGCAGTCCATTATGCATACGAGGACCAAGCCGAGGTGCGCTTATGAAGGGATCTGATTGAGTTCTGAGTATATGGCGTCTGGTTTGCCGAGTTGCTAATTAAACACCCGCGAAGAGGTGCCCCGACACACGAGCGTGCGAGTCACACACCGGTTCTGCGTTACCACCGGAGCCGTCTTTCTCTCTCTCTGTCTTCCTCTCGTATCCATCTCTCTCTTGCCCCGCCCGCGTTGATTCTCCTCTCACCACCGCTCGTCCTCGCTGCTCTTCCTCGCTCGCTGATTGATATTTAAGCCCGGAGTTTAACCCACCCGCGGTCCTTCTCCCGCCCTCCTCCCTTTCTACCTTCATCCATGTTCTACGGGGTCGTTAGCGAGCCGCTCCTACTCTCGACGTTGGTTGTTGTTGGTACTGGTAATGCTGGTGCACACCGTGTCGTTGCTGCGATGATTTCTGCACACCTGGCGAGGAGGTCCGCCTGGTACCAGCAAGTCCGACGCGACCGGGAGTAATAGCGTACGCCTCGATTAAATCCGACTCGCCTCGGCGACGGCAACATCCTCACGACAATTTCGCTCGTTCCCCATCCCTTTTCTCTGTTTCTCTCCAGTCTCTCATCGCGACACGCTCCCGGTGCCGCATCAACGTGCCGGAAGTAGGGATAGAGTCAAAACGCAGATTTATGGAGGCTACAGATTTACGTTGCTACAGTCCACGATTCGCATACCGCGCTATTTGTGTATTCCAAACAACGGAAACTAGAATTGTACGGCAATTTATGAAATATTAAAATAGTAATCTTTTTAATATTATTTATATATAGTTAAGACAGAAGATTGTTGGATCATTTGTTACGAGTTAGTTCTGTTCAAATATATCAACTTACGTGTCGAGAGAAAACAAAGAAGATGATACTCTGTAATTTATATTACACGCAACGTGTCGCATATCTCTCGCAATTATTAATTTTCCGCAGGATCTATTGGATCTATTGGATCTATTGGACCCATTCAATCACATAAATCTCTTCGAGATTTATCTCTTTGTCA